CCGAGGCCCTTTGGCAGGCCCTAGAGAGCCACCAGCATGGTCCTTTCTCCCTGGGTTCTGCCCCTGGGTCTGGCCGGCCATTAGGCCACGGATTGTGCCTCCTGCCTTTCCTTGTGGCTCTACTTTCTTGGGGGCTCACCTTGATAATTTTCAGAAACGTGTCTGGTTCATGTGCTTGCAGAAGCACTTTGGGACACATTACCCACGAGGGCATTTAAATCCCAATTGTCTGGAGCCCACATCCAGGAGGGCCCTGGGCTGCGGCTGCCGCTGCCTCCTCCTGCTCAGCGCACTGCAGAGGGGACTTACCATTGCCTGCCATAGGGGAAGGTAATTAAATCGAAGCCCAACCGCCTTCCTCCCAAAGTCAATGAACTTTGAAGCTGCAGCAGGGCACCAATTAGAGGCAGTGAGCTAGCAGAGCTGCCCGGGGCGCTCTGTTACATAAGCGCCCGGAGCCACCGCGCCTCTGCCGGCCTGCTGCCCAGCGTCCGTCACACGCACGGGCTGATACATGCAAGACAAATGCGTCCCCAGCTGGGCTTTTATCAAGATATATTTGCTTGTATTCCCAAGGTCATCGTAAACACTTTTCATTGGTAGTTTATTCGTGCTGGATAGGTAAAACAAGCCACTTGATTTTAAATTACAGAGTCTAACCCAGGAGCTTGTTGCTGTCAGATGTGCTAACGCCATGAAGGAAAAATGCTACAGTGCTGCAGATGTAACCTACAGGCTTGGGGGATCAAGTATATATTTATGTCTTAAAAGGGATAGGAAATTTGGTTTTGTGGCTCACTCCTGTTTACTTGGCCTGATGCTTTCATGGAGTGGGAGAAGCAGAATCACAATGTGAGAGACACGCACCACTGAAAATGGTAAGGGGCATGGCTTTTGTTTGTGCTCTCACTGGCTTCTAGCACATTTAAGATGCTCAATTAAAACTGAACAATCTCTGGGTTTGTGTAAACGTTTTCATCCTTTCACAAGCCAAGTATGTGTTGTAAGTTACTCTCACATGACAGAGAATAAGACAGTAGAGTTAGTATCCTAAGAGTTTTAAAACCTGACAGCTCTTTCCATCTCTACTAATTTATTTATTTCACAAATACTTAAATAGTCCCACTATGTACCAGATAAGCCCTTACAGATACCAACTCTTTTGATCTTTATCATAATCCTGTGAAGTAGGGGCTATTATGATCATCATAAGTTTACAGATGAAAAAACAGAAATACACAGGGTAGTGCTTAATTTGCTCAAGGCCCATAGCTAGTGAGGGGAGAACTAGGGTTTCAACTCAGGCAGCCTGGTTCCGTGGCCCATGATCATAACCGCCACCCAGTACCTGTAATGCTGTACACTTGTTTAATGTCTTGGGCAAATCTTTTGATCTCTGTGCCAAAGGTCATCTTTCAAAAATAGACAAAATTCATATTTCAGCCAATGAATTTTTGTAATGATTATGAGAGAATAATATTTTTTGCAACTATTTGAGTTACTTACAGATTGAGAATGGAGGGTAATTGTCATTACTTCTAGATATTGCCCCAGTGAATACTATAGAAATCTGCTACCTAAGGATATGTGTGTGTGTGTTGGAGGTAGGAGGGTTATTACAATACAGGACCTTCCCCCCTCCCAGCTCCTTCCATTGATGGCAATAAAATGTGTAGAGAAAACTCCAGTTGGGGCCATTCTACTAAGCAGATGACTCTCAGGTGGGAGATTATCTCTTTAATTTGTGCCTTCCCTGCTGTTAAAGTCGTAGACTTACTCTTGTTCCCAGAGCAAGTAATTCCCAGTTGTGTGCTGGCTGCACTGGAAAGGCAGCTACATTGGACACACACACACAACACAGGCAGCATGATTTAATTTGGCTCTTGGCATCAAGAGTTTGAAGTCAATCATCAAGCCTGAATATTCCGGAACAACCTAGACTATTTCAAACATTTTGACCCAATGGCCCCACAAAATAAACCCATGCTTTTTAGCCTGAGAACTCCAGTTTTTGCAGAAAACATGGCCACTGAAAATCTTGGGGACAGAACCAAGGCAATGGCATTTAATATCACAACTTAAATATTTCCTTTTTAAATTTTGAAATGGTGCCACTTTGTATTTATCTGGTTCCCTTTCTCCAAGGGAGACTAAATGCACTGAGTCTAAGTCATTCTTGTTATATCCCTGAGATATAAGATATTTCAATAAACTGCTTCACAGGTGAAGAAATGTGGGTTATATTTTATAATCCTTCAAATGGTTTGAACATAAAATATAGTGTGTATGTTTAAAATTTATGGGACTATGCAAAGAATCTGTGCACTTCTTGGTTGTCCAGCATTTTAAAACAAAATGGCATTAACTAGTTCCACTGTCTTCCTGTGCCCTCAGATGTATAGTTCCTAGCTTCCAGGAAAACTAGATGCATGCTTAAGGCACCAGCAACTAGCACACAGACACACACATGCACCACTCAAAGAGAAAAAGTAAATTTTTAAGTATTCTATTTTTAAGACTTGAAAACACTTGAAATTGTCAACATGTGGGAAATCACTCATTTGGAGGAAGATTTTTGTACACATATTTTATAATCATATATATATATATATAATCATATATATGTATATATATGTATATATATATACATATATATATGTTTTTATTTGAATTACATATAGTTGGAGGTGGAGGGAGGGCATAAGCTTTTCGCAGTTACTTTAACCTGAACCTGAACATGACTGGAACTAATTTTACCTTGGGGATTTCACATTCACCAGAACTGCTTCTTGTAAGGAGTAACTTTTGACTATAGTAATATAAATCTGGCAGTAAGAATGGTGTTGAGTATACTAGTCCCAAAAGCTGGGGACTCTTTTCCTTATTTAGACCCTCAGTAGGCGGGACCATTAAGAGAAACATGTTGATGAGTCCAGTCATGAGAACATTTCTTCCCCTGTAAAATGGCTTATATTGTGGTCATGTCAATGAGCACTCACAATTTTTTATCAAAGTATTTCAGGTGTAAGCTAAATGTTTGAATTGTTCAGGGATTCCATGTTTCTTTAGCAGCAGAGTTAGAACTTTTAACCAGACTTTTCCACCCTAAGGCTAACATGTAGGCCAATAGTATTCAGAACCTTGGTGGCTGAGCGACCATTTAGAGTTTATTTGCAAGCCCAGGAACTACATAGTCATAGTTGGATTTGGGATGAGACTTGTAGGTGATGAAGCAGACATCGAGTCACCTACCTTCCGGAGCCATAATTATTTTTTTTTTCTCCCAGCAACCACTTACTGGAAATCCTGGATTCCTGGACACAGTTTGGCAATCATCACAGTGAACATCATCTTTTTGTATTAACCTGTGTTACTGGTTGACCAATTATTGTCAGTTTTGACCAACACAGTATTTACATTGCAGAAATTTGTTCTTTACTTTCTATTTATTTCAATTTTTACATCAGAAGTTCTTGAGGTCAAAACAATCACAGCGTGCCTTTCAGGGATGGCTTTTGTATTTGGGATTCATCTAAGCTGCTTGCTACGTCCATACACAAACATCCCACAATTAAGCTAATTTTGTTGGCTCAGTCCATGAAAAGCACCCAACATCTGTATGGCAAATGAAAACCGGATTAGAGTTTAGGGACTGCTCACTGACAAACAAACATGGAGCCATTTTCATGTCTTGGGTACTGTGCTTCTGAGGAGCGACAGCCCCTCCATCAGGGAATTTGCTGGGACGGAAGAAAGAGAACAGCTTTGATTAATTAGCTTTCTCAAGAGTCATTCAATGTTCTTTATAACTGGCAAGGTTTTCTTCTGCTTTTTTTGCAGCTGTTCTACTTTTTGCTGAGTGCCCTTGGCTTGATGGTCTGTGTGCTGGCGGCAGCGTTTGCTGCCCACCACTATTCACAACTTGCCCAGTTTACCTGTGGAACCGCACTCGACTCCTGCCAGTGCAAACTGCCCTCCCTGGAGCCACTCAGCAGGACCTTTGTGTATCGGGATGTGACTGACTGTACCAGCATCACTGGCACTTTCAAACTGTTCTTACTCATCCAGATGATTCTTAACTTGGTCTGTGGCCTTGTGTGCTCGTTGGCCTGCTTTGTGATGTGGAAACACAGGTACCAGGTCTTTTATGTGGGTGACAGGATGTGCTCCCTGATGACTTCCGAAGGCCAACAGCAAAAAGTCTAACATTCTTACTCAAATGTGGGCGAGAAAACAGCACAACGATGAGCTGAGGTTAAAAACAAAAGAGAGAGAGGGAGAGCGAAAGACAAGGAGGAAAGAAAAAGTTTTTACAGTAACTAATATTCACTGTTCTAAATGAATATTTTTATATTTTTCAGGAAACGAAAGAGCATTTCTTCAGGTTTCTATAGTATTTTTTACAAATTCTTATGGGAAAAATAAGATCCAAATTGACTTTGGGATATTGAAAGAACACGAAACAGGGAAAGGATAGCACAGCTCTATCTTTATAGTTGGGTTTATTTCTAATATTCATTTTACCCATTACTTTTACGATGTCTTTCCTGTTAGTTTGATGATGTGAATTGACATGTCAGGCCCACTTGCTAGATTTTGTAGTTTTTTTCCAGGCCTTCCCACCTCCCACAAGGATATCCTCCGTACGTCTGGGAGAAAGCTGGGGGCTGGGGGGAGTGCTGAAGGAACAGGTTGACTATTTTCCCTGGTGGAGATGTCATCAAGAATGAGACAACTTAAATGAGCAGTGTAGAAAAGGAGATGACATTGCAAAAAGCTAAATCATTATTAGCACCTGTGCTGGGGTGGTGGTTCTCTCCTCAGCCTCCTCAGTTTGACTCTGTAAGCAGATTACTTATAAATGCTTCAGCTGATTGTCTGCTTCTCAATTGAAAATTGGTGGTAATTGTAGTCTTCATGATGTAGAAGGTTTAAAAATAATTACGTTATGCTCCTATTCTATCATCTAAAACAAATCATTAAAACCAATTTCTAGCTAATTGTTAATTATAATTATGCTCAGAAGTCTATTTAATGAGGCCTGGCTGTACTTACGTAGCACACTTTGTATTAGGAGAAATTATTCTCACAAGAGAGGAGGCTTAAAGATTCTTTCTTCTGAAAGCTAAGCTTTATAAAGGAGAAAAAAATTTTTTTAATTAATAGCTCAGGTTAAATATACTCATTTAAGCAAAAACAAGAGCATTTGTAGCGGGAATGTTTATACAAATAGCACATTTGTGATATGTTGTAAAGTATCTCTCTTGGCAGCTAAGTACTTTTGAGGAAGAGTGGGTAATGCCAATGTGTTCCATTCATGAAATTGTATCTGATAGGTAATCCTATTATTGAATTGTATGCACAGTCAACTGAGAGACTGAAATTAATGTTTCAAAGTCCTTATTTGACCATTTGCACATTGACTTGAGGGGAGTTTTGTTTTTAGTTGACTGTGACTTAAAAAAGCACAAGTGCCCTATGGTGGGAGGCTTTTCTCTTTTCTTACTGTTATTAGTAAATTTGGAACAATATCAGTGTTTTAAGAAAGGCGCTTAGAATGCAAATTAATGCAGCATAAATGTTATCGAGAACGTTTCTCTCTTAGTATGCTCTTTATAAAGTAGAAATTCAAGGTTGTAATTGAGCTCAGCTTGCCTCTGCATTGCTTATTGATACACTTTACTAATCATGAAATTCTACCCTAAAACACAAACCATTTTATTGTTTGCCTTAGCAGATAGATAAATAATTCCACTGACTGTAATAATAGTGTCTATTTCTACACAATACTGATACCCAAATAAAAAGGAAAACGTTAAGTCAGTTAGTTGGAGGATTGTAAGTATCTTTTATGTCCTCCAGATAAAACACCTGATTAGCAGATGTTAAAACCTTTTTATGTATTATTTACTTGCTTTAAAAATGGCCTTCCTACATACTAGCTCAGGCCAAGAAGGCACATTGGAGGGCTTAGAGGATAGGACTCAGGAGCAGATGTTCGATCTCACATGAAAATTACGTTTCCAGAACACCAAACATCCTGATGATGACCTGAAAAGTATTTTGTACTCTGTTAAAAAAAAATCCCTATATTTTGATTTGGACAGTTTTTTACATAAAGAGGAAAATGACTGAGAATCTGAAATATCATAGTCCATTCTTTAAAGAGTGAGAAACTAGTGCTTCAGTGCTAATTACTATGAATCAGGCACCACTGGAAAGCACACCCTGAATACCTTTAAACAACTTTTTATAGAAAACACTACAGATTTTTATATTAGAAAATTAGAATTCTTCACATCACTAAGGTGCTCTATGCTTTACAATGATTTACAGGGTATTTCAAATAGAATAACTTTAGCTAATGTGCTTCCTTTTTCTAAATAATGCAACCAGTAAGAATTGACATGGTGATAAGCTTGATAATAATCAGGATCGATCTATCTATCTATCTATCTATCTATCTATCTATCTTACATATCAATGTATGATAGATAGATAGATAATGGGGATTTTGCTGTTGTGCAATTGAATCATTCTTAAATGTCCAAAGAACAAAAACATTGTAAGTGAAAGAAGGAACAAAAGAGAAAAAAAGAGAAAGAAACAAAGACTCCTGTTCTGCAAACTCACTGTGTATTGACATATGTAAGAACCGTATTGCATGAATAACAAACTGCTTCGGGCTGGATTTGAAGTATTTTGAGTTTTTGTTTTGCAAATATTGAAGTTACAATACCGGCAACAGAAAAGGAACAGATACACAGTTTTACACTTAGCAAAATGTTGCTTTTAAAATCTGACAAGGAGCCAAGATGGTGACTGTCTCCTCTAAACCATAAAACGGTAAGATTTGCGCAATCTTCCTCCTCTTCCACCTCCTCCAGGAGAATTAAATGAATCAAGACTTTGGAAAGAGGGGGAGCAGCCGGGACTTGGCAGTACTTGAAATAGGAGGAATACAGCAGCCTAAATGTACAGACTTTGTAACGGAGCCCACTCGATCTGTCTGTGCCTTCACGTGACCACCATCTGTGCCTCCCTCATTCCATCCAAATTTGTGTAGGCAGCTCCTTGGAGCCATGCCTAAAAATATAGCTACACCAGGCCCTAGAAACTGTAGTCAAGTAACAGGCCTCACTTTTTCCCCCCTCTTTGGATTAAAAGACTATATGATCTCTTTTGAGGGGTTTCCAGCTGCACACATCAGTGTGTTGTTTTGACAGTGTGAACCCATTATATACGTGTTTTCTATTCATGTCTAGAACATCAGAATCTTTTAATATTATTGTATTCCCCCTCTTGCATGCACTATACCTGGAATATGTTTATAGAGTTTTAGTAAAGGGCAGTGTAGAGTATTTTAGTATAAAGTAGGTTCTGAGGGACAACAATGAGCAGTTATTTAAAGATAATCAGAAAGGAACTTAAAAGTTGTCCTAGAAAACCAATCATATCCTATATCGAAGCATACCTTGACATTTTCTAGGAATTGTCTCTGAACTGTTGCTATGTAGCCATAAATTTCTGTCAATCATGTTGGCTCTCAGTTTTTACTATACTCAAAGAACTCTACCATATTTTTAGATGTACACTCTATATTCAGGATAGTGTTAAAAAGAGCTGATGGCCAAGTATATTGACTCACAATGGAAACATTCATTTGGATGAAAGTTCAGTGGTTCAGCCTGTGAAATGAATCCCTTGATTCATTTCTTCTGATTTTCTAGTATGTACTTTGTTATCTCAAATGATTATCCCCTTCAAAAATATTGGTCTGTATTTTGGTATTGGTTTCATTCTTCTGGCATTGATGAAATAGTGACTAGAAAACAGTGTTTCCTATATGTTTGAGGTGGTTGTTTTTAAAGGGGATGTGTATCATGCATATTTTCTTTGTTAATAAAATTTTCATAATCTCTGAAAACACCATGTTTGGATGTTCTTTAAAGTGATGGTACATTGCACATGAACTGGTATACATAAAATCTCTCAGATTCATGTTTACTTCAAAAGTCTGGTTTTGGAATAGACGAGAACTAATATTCATTTTGACTCCTTTGTTCCAGTGGCTGTTTCTGTTTTGGTACACTGCACTCATGTAGAAATCACGGTGGTAAATACTCCCCAGGCAAAGGGAGCGTGAGCTGGAAAATATCTTGCAAAAGGTACTTAAAAGGCTGATCTTAATTTATATCCATTAATGTCAAGTACAGCTTGGCCTAAGGAATAGGATGCATGTTGAGTGTCACATATTTGATCACATTCTATATTTAATTAGATAGAAAATCAGACAGCCTATTCAATTTCAAATATGAATGCAAGGACTCCTTTTTACCAACTTTGAGGCAACTTAAATCATTGATTATACTGTAAAATGCAGTGGTTCTTTTTGTTTTATTTAGTTAGAAAAGCTTGTAGAATGCAAAAGGAAAGAGATCATGATTTAGGACACATGCTCTGAGCTAGATGTCCTATTCTTATTGTTAGGGCTGTAGATCTTAGGGTTGGAAATCTACCACTGCCTCGCTGTGTGACTTTGGATAAACCATTTAGTCTTTAGCTCCCTCATTTGGAAAGTGGAGAAAAACATCACTGCCTCACAGCATCATGGGAAAGTTAAATGAAAGAGCACTTAGAAAAGCTCCTGGAGGGAGCTTAATAAACATTTGGTTCTTTCTTCCTCAGCTGAGTTTTACATAAGCTTGTGACACCTCATTAATACAGGCTCCTGTCCCCATATCCAATTTGAAAAGTAGCTCTGCTTTGCTGTCCCCTCTGTGACTTCCTTTTTATAAACCAGAAACATTGTCAGATGGGTCTCAAATAGAACCTGGGCTTTTAAAATAAGATAGCATCAACTCTTACTGATGCTAGTGCATGGAACTATGTGCTGGCTGGATCCCTATTTGTTGGTTAACACATCTGGATGTTTCTTGAATGTGGTCACCTTCTCTCAGCTCTTCTCCCAGGCAGAAGTAGAAGCTGAGATATTTCGCTTCATCTTCATATCACTTCCAATTTACTGTAATAGAAGCAAGCTTAACCCCAACTTTTAAAAAGAAAACTTTATTGAGCTTTGGTAAATGATCGGTCTGCTTGTAATATTAAGCCCATATTTATTTAAAAACCCACTATCAAGCATGTTCAGTATGTTTCACCCTGTGGGTCACTAATTCTCATTCCAGAATCAGAAAAAAAATTTATTTTTGAGCCTATACAGAAAATACCACCAGAGAGCCATTCTCCAGGCTGGATACAAAAACATGCACATGCATCTTTAAATCTGTGGCAAATTTAATTATTGAAATTATATAGCCAGGAATCTACTTTTTCCCTTGGTAGAGTCTATCTATTTTTATAGTTTATAATAAATTATTGTGAATTATTTTTTCGTTTGACACATTCATATCTTTTATAAGTTAGTCTTTATGAAGTACAGGATGAATATTGGCTATTGTAGTTTTTGAAATTCAGATTGTGAGCAAATGAAAATAAAACTAATGTATACGGATGCTGGCTTGTGGATAGTTCATTCTTTCATTTCTTTCCAACAAATTGTTACATATGTTTATTGATCCTTTCCAAAGGATGGATTTTTAGAGGGAGTCTGACCTTCATGAAGGTCATCAGAAAGATCCTTTAATCAAAGGGATGTAGGACATACACTCATCTGCTATTCTTGGGAAAAAGCAGATAATAGGGCAATAATCCAAATACAAAGATTTTAACTGAAACATGAAGTCTTCTGTTTAACAAGGATATCTGACTGGGGAGGTGGGGGTATGTAGGGGGGTGGACGACGAAGCCCTAAGATTCATTTGTGTCACCTGTGCTCGTCCTTTCTCTTCCACATGGAAGTCTGCTGGAGAAGGAGGCAGAGATTTCTGAGATGAAGCAGAGGCCCATCTTAAACCTTGGAGGAGGCTTGGCTAACACCTGATAAGGGGGCTGAGCAATGAGATGTCGCCAGGAACTTTGGGGTCCCTAAACTCAGTGGGGTGCTCCATTTACTCTGTTTGACTTCCTGTGTAGACACTTCTCCCCAGAAACTCTCACTGAGTTATCTTTGCCTGACCAGGTGTGATTGTGGAGAGCAAGGGATAGCTCTCAAGGACCACAGAGGACAGTGACACTTGTGGCCAAAGAAAATGACTTTAATCTCGTGAAATGTACCCCAAGTTGGTCTCCCTATATCTTCCTTGGCATGTGTTTATTAGACCATTGGCTACCTAGGGCAGGTCTGAAAGTGGTGGACTGGACACAGTGTATTGTCAGAAATAGAGGAACCAGAGTTTGAGAAGTATGTGATTAAAGTTGTCACTGATCTCCATGGATGGTTTTATTCTCTTTCACACAAGGTAGAATTCATGCACTCTTACAGAATAGACAATGTTCCTCAGATACCTTTATGGGCAAGAGTAGGCTTTTCATTTTTTATTAAAATTTTTTTCCGGATTTCAACAAAATTGACCAAAGGACAGTTATACAATTGAAAAAGGAGAGAGAGGGCCGGCCGAGTGGCGTGATGGTTAAGAACTCGCTTGGGATGCCAGAGGGCCCCGGTTCAGATCCCACATATGAGGGCCAGTGACACTGCCCTCTACAGCTAAGATGCTGAACAACAGCTCAACCTGGAGCTGGGCTGCCTTGAGTCGCCGGCGACGGCGTAGGCTGCAGCCCCTGTGGCAGTGGGTTGCATGGGCTACCATGTGTAGCCAGCAGCCAGCGTGAGCAGCCAGCAGCCAGCGTGAGCGGCCAGCAGCCGCAGTGAGCGGCCGTCCAGAAGCCGGCGACTGATCTGCCTCGCCCGGGAAGAGCGCAATGATGGTGCCAACTTGGGCCAGTGAAGCAACGTCCTCCACAACTAGACTGAAGAACAAAACGACAACAACTTGTCTGTTCCCCTTCTCCCATTTCCCCAGCACTGTTCCCATCCCCCCAATTACCCAATAAAAATCTTTAAAAAAAAAAGAAAGAAAGAAAAAGGAGAGAGAGCCTACATCATTTTAATATAGAGAAAATTAAGATGTGGGACATTGAACTTGGCTCTTTAACCAATGGCTGGGTACATGCACTTAGGCGAATGTAGGGAGTGGTGACTTCATGAGCATATTTGAGGGTCTGGAATTCAAGTGAAAACCTGAATGCCATTTGGCAGCAACCAGCCTGCTACAATCCTCATACCCACCAGCCCCCAACTTTTAATGTCGCTATGGACGGCTCTTGGTAAAATGACCAAGAAGGCCACCTCCACGTCTGGGATTTATATTCTCTCTCTCCTGGGCTCTCTCTACTCTTTTCAGAGAAGAGACTTCCACTCTTTCCTCTCTAATCTCATTCCACAGCAAACCCTGCCCCTCCATCATCCCCTATCCCATTTGTTTGAGACTGTACCATGGGTTGTAAACTCAAGTGCTGGGATTAAGGCCTTACATACAGAGATCTCTATAAATACTGTTTTCATTTTAATAGAATATTCCTAAAGATCAGAAAACTTTTCAGGCCCTAAGAAATGAGGCATGGTGCCAGAGAGGGGAGACCTGCCCAGCAGTCCTTCAAACCCAACCATGTAGGTGTCCACCTAGTCTGTCTGACCAGAAGAATCAGTTTCAGAGATGGTGGGACTTGGGGAGCATTTCCCATCAGCCCCTGCTCCAGCTGTGGCTTGGGAACCCAAGTGGGTCTACCGCCGAACAGGCTGCTGGTTACAGCTGAGCAAATCTCTGCTCAAACTTGTTGAAGGGAAGCATCCAGAATTCTGAGGGAGGGGATTTTTCGTCCCACAGTTTCAGAGGGCATTTTATTGTGGAAGGCAGAATGAGTAAGAAAAGGGAGGAATTCATGCAGAACCTCTTTTCCCCCCGTGTCGGGCTCCCTAAGCATTACTTGTGACAACTCACCAAGGTTGACTAACTTTGCTCAGAACCCCAGGCTTCTCTATTCATCCCACACAGAACACCCTCAGAGACTGGCTTGGCTTCACATTGCTGCCCAGAGGAGGACGTGTCGGGCAATAAGCAGAAAAAAAATGCTCATTTCTTATTGAAAAACTCCCAAATTGTAACTTAACAGGGTGATCTTTTTTTTTATTATTATTTCCAAAATGTGCTTTTCCCCCAGAGTCCTTGAGCACAGACCTGCGGTTTTTCTCTCTCCTGGGTTTTACAGTCTATCTGCCTCAAGCCAAGAGACTTGGCTCTGCTCCTCCTGAGTCAGAGTCTCGGTTGGTAGCTGAACCCAGGAAGCCCTGGCCCCGTGTCTCTCCCTGGAACCACCAGACCACACAGCCTCCTGTACTCAATCCTTTGGCTGGATGTCCTGCCTCCTCTTTGTTTGGAAAGAGATGTCTTACGTAACTGCACAACCTACTAAATGCTCCATTGTCTTCCACTTGGGAGAGCTCAAAATAACCCATTAGTGACTTATGACTTATTACAAAGATAGAATCTATTACCATATATCCACAGCCCCCGTGGAGTGAGCCTCACCTATCTTATTGAGATCAATAATCAGTAACAACTCAACGATTGTGGGCTTTGGGAAATTATGAGTTCAAGACAAGGGGCAGGAGATACAAAGCCTGGTTCATCTATAGGTCACAGTACTGTCCTCGAGAAACACATGAAAGTCATTTGTAATTCAAGATTAAGGCAGGCATAAACAATTCTGATCTGATTATTCTTTCATTAATCTGATTTTGATAAAGAGCTGATGAAAATGGAAGGTGTCTGGTCACCAGAGGAGAGATACCCAGGCAATGAAATCAGTGTCTCTTATCTCACTGGGCAGGGATTTATTTGAGGCTCCTATTAATAGCCCACAATGCGAAGAACTGTGGCCGTTGCCCTGGACTTCAAGAGCTTTCTGAGCAGAATGACAGAAACCCACTGGGTAAGGTCTTCTCTTCCATCTTTATATCCTATGAA